GGATGGATTGTTATAGAGGGTGATGGGTGGATTGTTATAGAGAGTGACGGGTGGATTGTTATAGAGAGTGACGTGTGGATTGTTATGGGGAGTGACGGGTGGATTGTAATAGGGAGTGACGGGTGGATTGTTATAGAGGGTGACAGGTGGATTGTTATGGGGAGTGACAGGTGGATTGTTATAGAGAGTGATGGGTAGATTGTTATAGAGAGTGTAAGAGTAAATGGGAAGAGGCTGTGGCATTTCGGAAGTCAGCCTGGGTGTTTAACTACCATGGATTAACTCAGAGCTCTCCCACTGCAGGTGTGACTCTGCATACCATCGACACTGGCAATGAAATCTGCAGCCTGACTGTGGTACAGCTGAAGAGGTTACTGCTGTGCGGCCTGAGGTCTGGGTCCCTGCTGGTTTTCTGCATGGAGACATGGCAGAGGCTGACGTGCTGTCAGCCCCCAGGCCAAGGGGAAACAGTCCAATGTATCGCCATTAGCAGAAGCGAGGAGCAGTTGGCAACAGCGTACATCAGCTGCGTCACGGTGCGTGCTCTGCACAGTGCGGAGTCTGACCCCTTGCTGGGCAATACCCTGGCCACTTTCTCCACTATGCCACGCTTTGTATTGTCCAGTATGGCTGTCACATCAGAGTGCAGTGTACTGTTAGGCATGGACACCGGGGAACTCCACCTCTACACTGGGAACTCACTGCCCACTATCCTGGAGCCTCACAACAGCAGAGTAACCTGCCTGGTGACCAGTCACAAGGAACACTATGCCTTCAGTGGGTGTCAGGGACCAGTCCAGAGAATATGGAATCTCCGGGAGCAGCAGTGGGACTATGAGTTTTCCTACAAGGTAAGTGTTAACCAGCCCCTGAACGTATTGAATCACAGTCTCTCTTGGCGTAGAGGGAGGCCGTTTGGCCTGTTGTGTTGGGTCTTGAATTTGAAATGGGCCCTTAATCCCATTCCTCCACCCTCTCCCTAGCTTCCCTCATGTATTTGTCCGATTTCATTGTGAAGTTTGTCGTTGTGTCCGCCCTGCAGAAACAATGAAACAGCCTGCATTTTCATTGCGCCTTTTGTGGCTGTCCCAAAGTGAACTTGGGCAGCTGCTGAAGTGCGTCACTGTTGTAATGCAGGCCATCTGCGCACAGCAAGATCCCACAAAGAGCAATCCGATGAAAACATGAAACCACATGCTTTCGTCACGGTGGGTGAGGGCTAGTTGGGAGAACTGCCTGTCTTTGATTAGGGCCAAGGGATTTTTGTTCATCCATCTGAGCAGGATGATGGGTAACATGATGAAAATTTTGTAGAGAGAGAGCAATATTTTAGGAATCAAAAAGTACCGGAGAGAGTAATGGTGAAGGAAAATACAATTATGGCTGTCAAATAGATGATAAGCCCATAAGATATAAGAAGTAATATTAGGCCATTTGGCCCATTAACTGCTCCGCCATTCGACCATGTCTGATATGTTTCTCAATCCCATTCTCCTGCCTTCTCCCTGTAACTCTTGATCCCCTAACCAATCAAGAATCTATCTATCTTTGTCTTAAATACACTCAATGACTTGGCCTCCACAGCCCTCTGCAGTAATGACTTCTACAGACCAACCACCCTCTGGCTGAAGAAATTCCTCCTCATCCCAGTTCTAAAGAGTCATCCCTTCATTCTGAGGCTGTGCCCTCTGTTCTGAGTCTCTCCTACTAGTGGAAACGTCCACTTTATCCAGGCCTCTCAGTATTCTGTTAGTTTCAATCAAATTCCCCATCAGCCTTCTCAACTCCATCAAGTACAGACCCAGAATCCTTAACTGCTCCTCATATGACAAGCCCTTTCATCCCTAGTATCATTGTTGTGAACCTCCTCTGGATCCCCTCTCCAATGCCAGCACATCTTTCCTTAGATACGGGACCAAAACTGCTCACAATAATCCAAATGTGGTCTGACTGGAGCATGATACAACCTCAGCAGTACATCTCTCTCTTGTTTTCTAGCCCTCTTGAAATGAATGCCAACACTGCATTTACCTTCCTAACCGACAACTGAACCTGCATGTTAACCTTAAGTGAATCCTGAACTAGGACTCCCAAGTCCCATTGTGCTTCAGATTGCTGAAGCCTTTTCCCCATTTAGAAAACAGTCTATGCCTCTATCCTTCCCACCAGAATGGATATCGATAATTTTTTTGGAGTGCCGTCACTGTTCTACGAGGCTCCAAAGTTTTGGTCAGTGCAGCGCTCTGTCAGCACAGCACTGGGAGAGTCAATGGATAATGACATTATTATGGCCTGTACTTGAACCCTGGTGTTTCTAATTGCTCGCAATGACATGTAGTGGACACTGATATTAGTGTCGAGAGAGAGGCGGGCTTTGGGGTCAGATTGATACCAAGACGAGGGTGTTGGGGGTTAGGGAAATGGCCCTTTGACTGAGGATCTGGTGGGGTTCCTATTGGAACCAGCTAGGGAGCAGCTCTCTGAGAAGTTGCATTAGCTGTGTTCTGTGTACAAGCCTGGGTAGCCTTTGTGGGTTGTGTGGCATGCTCCTGTGTATCTGTGAGAAGTGTGGGCCCATTTGTGAAAGGGCTCCTTCCCTCTCAACTCTCAAGAGCCCACAGACCGCCAAGTGGAGCTAGCACTCAGGAGGGGCACTGGCGAGGAATGGTCAGAGAGTGCTTGGAGCTACACTCTGGGGTCATTGGCCTGTCCAGCAATGGCGAGCTGTCTTTATTGCAGGAAGCAACTACCCTCATGCTGACTGTCTGCTGTTCTTGTTCAATCAGGGCTTGTTCTTTCAGGGGGTTGAATGTGCAGCGTTCTCACGGGATGATCGCTTCGTCTACACCGGCTCACGGGATCGAACCATCAAAGCATGGGACCTTCGCAACAGTTTGTATCATTTGTTTTGGTCAAATGGGCCAATTTTAGAAAGAGTCCTGGAAAAGCATGGAGCAATGATTATGAAAGGGCCCCGTCGTGACTATAGTCTTCCCCACAGGTGCCCCCATCCCAGGAACAGCCAACCCCAGCTTTGATCCCTCCTTTCCTGTGCAGTACAGAACTCAGGTTGGGGCCCAGCTACAAAGGCTGTTCCCAGCTTTCCATTAATTCTCGTGTGTCCCAGTCGCTGGTGTTCAGTTCCTAGTGTTCAGATTGAGGATTGAGCCAGCAATGAAGAATGCTGGGATCTCAAACCTGGGAAGGTAGCAAAGGGCTGTACATGAGATTACAAAGAGAACTTATTGATTTGGGTCAATGGGCTAAGGAGTGGCAGATGGAGTTTAATTTGGATAAATGAGAGCTATTGCACTTTGGTAAAACAAACAAGGGCAGGACTTATGCAGTTAAAAGTAGGACCTTGGATAGTGTTGTAGAACAGAGAAACCTAGGGGTTCAGGTACATAATTCTTTGACTTTTCAGACAGGGTGATTAAGAAGGCACTTAGCACACTTGCCTTCATTGCCCAGACCTGAGTATGCAAGTGGGGATGTTATATTGGGGTTGTACCGGACCTTGGTGAGGCATCTTCTGGAGTACAGTGTACAGTTCTGGTCTCCCTGCTACAGGAAGGATGTTATTAAACTGGAGAGGGTCAATAGAGATGTAGAGTTGCGGGGAATGGAGCTTTGAGTTATAAAGAGAGGCTGGATAGGGCTGGGATATTTTTCACTGCAGTGTAGGAGGTTGAGGGATGACCTTGTAACAGTTTATAAAATCATGAGGGGTATAGATAAGGTGAATGGCAAGGTTCCTTTCCCTAGGGTGGGGGAATTTCAAGAGTAGGGGGCATATTTTTAAGGTAAGAGGAGAAAGATTTAAAGACGACACGACGGGAAACTTTTTTTTACACAGAAAGTGGTTCACGTGTGAAATGAATTTCCAGAGGAGGTGGTGAACGTGGAGTACAGTTACGATGTTTAAAAAGACATTTGGATAAGTTCATAAAAAGGAAAGATTTAGAGGGATATAGGCCAAAAGCAGGCAGATGGGACTAGTTTAGTTTGAGATTATGATCGGCGTAGACAGGTTTGATTGAAGGATGGTTCTGTGCTCTATGACTCTATGAAGGAATTGGCCCTTAGTCATGGATCTTCCCAAATCATTAGTCTCACTGTAGCTCTCTCCCCAACCTCCGCAGTCACACTCGGACTTTTTGAAAGTTGACGCGACTGTTCCCTGATCTTGTGTTACTGTTAGCACCCCCCGATTCACACACATGGCTTAATGTGCTTGGTTTTGGAATATCTGAACCTTTCTTGTATTGATTTTCGGACTCTCCCCTCCTAAAAACGCTGACACTGACGAGGTAAACATTCCTCCACAGTGTGTCCATTCTCACCGGTAATCCCAGTTATTTCAAAGAATCCAGAATCTTGCTCTTTTGTCCCTGTTTGAACCAAAGCCGCAATGAGGGAAGTAGGGAAGGGGGATGGGGCAGGGATATAGCTAGGAGAAGAGAATACAGTGGGGGGGATGTGAGGGGATTGGGAGAGTTAGAGGGGAGTGAGAGGGTTGGAGGGAAGTGAGAAAGTTGGGGATGGGAGGGGTGGAGATATAGTGAGGAGAGGGGAGGGAATGCAGTTAGAGGGGATAATGGGGGAAGGCAGTAATAATGGGGAATAGAGGGATAGAGAGGGAATCAGTGGAAGAGAGGGGGGGCAGGGGAGGGGGAGAGGGAGGAGGATGCAGAGGACGATATGGAGGGGGCAGGGGAGGGCAGCAGTGGGGAGGGGACATGGATGACAATGGTGCAGGGAGGGGAGGAGGCAGGGCAGATGGAGGTACAGGGAGCAGGGGAGGAGGGTGGGGCAAGGAGAGGGGGTTGGGGGTGGAGGTACAGGGAGTGAGGATGGGGCTGGGGGACAGATGGGGCAGGGGAGGGGAATGGAGAGGGGGTGGTGGGGAGGGGCATAGAATGGCGATGGGGGAGGGGGAGGCGATGGGGCAAGGGCAGGGGGAGGAGGCAGGGGTGGGTATAATTCTCACTGCTCTCTGGTGAGCACTGAGAGCTGTAAGTTCCCCTGAGCAGCCCCTTTTCTGTTTGGGTGGAGCTGGCTGGTTAACAGGTCCACATCCCAATCATGTGGGCACTAACTCCCAACTCCGGGCCAATACTTTGAGGTGAAACCAGGCTGGGATAGGTATGGAGACATTCACAGAGACTCCTTTCCCTCGTACAGGTTGCCTTTTGGTGGTACAGTACGTATATGCAGAGGTGACCAACATTGTGCCAACTTCCACTGGGCTCTTGGCCAGCACAAGGCTGGGCTACCTCATCCGAGAGAACTTCACGTGCCCAGCAGTTACTGACACCAGTTATAACCCTTTTCGAAACATCCGGGCGAGCTGCAGTGTGTGGGTCAGACATGGGCGAGGTACCAGGAAGGTCTACAGCACTGGACCCAGTAATGGCAGCAAGAAGATCTCAGGCAAAGGGCAAGCCAGAGGCTTCCTACAGAACAGCAGACCGTCCATACTCTGCTGCCTGCTCTGAGCACACTGCATGGTAAATGCAGCTCATCGATCTTCAGTAAACCAGCTCACAACACCTCACTCACTGCCGGGGGTGCAAACTGTCCCGGCCCAGGCTGTTAGCATCCTGTTCGCATCCTGCTCATGTGCAACAAGCCCATAAAACAAGTCATTACATTGGCAACATGACATCAATGAGATTCTTTAGCTCACTGCTTTGCCCTGAAGGGGCTGTCTCTCTCTCTCTCTCCTAAAGGGGCTGCCTCTGTGTCTCTCTCTCTCTCTCTCCTAAGGGGCTGTCTCTCTCCGTCTCTCTCTCTCACTCTATCTCTCGCTCCCTTTCCTGAAAGGGCTCTCTCTCTCTCTCTCCCTCTCCTGAAGGAGCTGTCTCTCTCTCTGTCTCTCTCCCTCTCCTGAAGGGGCTGTATCTCTCTCTGTCTCTCCTGAAGGGGCTGTCTCTCTCCGTCTCTCTCTCTCTCTCACTCTATCTCTCTCTCTCCCCCTCTCCTGAAAGGGCTCTCTCCCTCTCCTGAAGGGGCTGTCTCTCACTCTCTCCCTCTCCTGAAGGGGCTGTCTCTCTCACTCTCTCCTGAAGGGGCTCTCTCTCTCTCCCTCACTCTATCTCTCTCTCCCTCTCCTGAAGGGGCTGTCTCTCGCTCTCTCTCTCCCCCTCTCCTGAAGGGGCTGTCTCTCTCTCTCTCTCCCTCTCCTGAAGGGGCTGTCTCTCTCTCTGTATCTCTCTCTCTCCTGAAGGGGCTGTCTCTCTCTCTGTCTCTCTCTCTCTCCTGAAGGGGCTGTCTCTCTCTGTCTCTCTCTCTCTCTCCTTCTCCTGAAAGGGCTCTCTCTCTCTCTCCCTCTCCTGAAGGGGCTGTCTCTCTCTCTCCTTCTCCTGAAAGGGCTCTCTCTCTCTCTCTCTCCTGAAGGGGCTCTCTCTCTCTCTGTCTCTCCCTCTCCTGAAGGGGCTGTCTCTCTCTCTCTCTCCTGAAGGGGCTCTCTCTCTCTCTCCCTCTCCTGAAGAGGCTGTCTCTCTCTGTCTCACTCTATCTCTCTCCTGAAGGGGCTGTCTCACTCTCTCTCTCCTGAGGGGATTGATACACTCTCTCTTCACACCCCCACCCCCAATGGGAGTAACACTCTGTCATTCCTTCTCCCTCCGCACTGTGACAGTGAGTCCCTGTAACAGCATAGCCCTGTCACAGTGGCCTGTCCTTACCCTGGGGTCAGGGCTGATGGAGTGAGTGCCACCTGCTGGTGAAATGAGGGAGTTTCATTCCAGTTCTGTCGAGAATGAGATGCACAGCCCCCTCTCAGGTTACCACCTAGTCTGGACTCCCCTGGTGATCAGCAGCTGTCACTGTCCTGGCTTAGCCCAGGGGGCATGATTGAGAAACCCAGCTCTGGCCGATTCCCACAGAACCATTCCTGTGGATTCCCCATTTTGAGCCTAACTGTGGCTCGATAGTTAGCAGCCCAGGAACTGTGCCAAACTACAAAAACCCTCAGAGTGTCTCATCGAAGCACAGCAACATTAACATCAACGACTGGGAGGAGCATTTGTTCAAAGTGGAGACACTTTTCCATCAAACTGCATCAAGCTTTGAATCCCGATGTTTTAATGATGAGGTAAAGTAGATCAAGGAGGGAAAGTAAATGAATGAAATCCTGCACCACCCAGGATTCCACTACCTCATGGGACATCCTTTCCACTGTGCCTCAAGTCCTGTTGCTGGAGAACTGCCCTTTCACTTAGAAAGCTGGACAGAAACTCACAAATCTGAGTACACATCATACTCTAACGGACAGAGACAGCCAACAGCAATGACAACCAGTTCCATTGTTACCTGGCTTAATACCAGCGGCTATTTGAGGCTATTTAACAACAGGTGCCCTTTGCTAGGGCAGGGGCAACATGAGCTGATACATGTTTGTTGAGGGCAATTGGAATGGATTGGATTATCCTCTGCCCAATTCCACCGCACCCCCATCTGCTCCCTCCTGGAGCTCGACTTTAATTCCGAGTGGGTGTAACAGGGTTTGAGCAAGTTCAAATCTCACCCCATCAGTCACCTCCAACATCAAATCAGAAAGCTGATCCTCGATTGTTAGGGGATAATGAAGCGGTGTGGGTTTTCTGTAAGCTAAGTAGCATTTTCAGTACATGTTAACAGAGATGTTTTAACAGCTAAAGGTCTAACAATCTGATAGTATAATCACGTGTGTTAGCTGGAGCAGGATTGGACAATATAGTCATATGTAGTAGTGTGAAGATGATTGGATAATGTAGTCATGTGTACTAACATGCAAACACTGTTGGATGGAGGTATGAATGAATAAAAGGTGTAACTTTTTATTTGGAATTGTTCTTTTTACTGGATTGAAAGTTTATCAGTAAAATTGGTATAGAACCCTTCTTCTTGTGGTCAAAGTTTGAGCTGTCTGCTATTTTCTTAATGGGTCCATCTCCCATGCATGTATGAATAAACTTTTGAACAAAGAAATAAAGGGTGAAATTCTCCCTTTCACTGATTTCTCTCTCATTTTGGTTTTAGGACAATAATACAAGTGTGTCTTGAACACGTTTCTATCACCGTATTGGTGGAAGAGGCACAGAGAAGCATATTGCTGTGGCTCTCCCACAACCACTTGCACTCCCTGTATTCTAACCCCAGCCATCCTGTCCCTTCTGAAGCTAATCTCTCATTCTTTCCTAATCTCTGCTCGGGCTTCCTCATGTGCTAATCTCATCCTCCCAAGGAATTAATTTGGTGAACCTCTCGATTGGTACCCCCTCTATGGCAAGTATTTGATCCTTAAATAAATAAGGGAAGCAAAACTGTGTACAATTTGCCTGAGCAAAGCTCCATACAAATGCAGCAAGACATTGTAACTCATGTAGTGCTGAAGGCCAGCGCACCATCTGCCTTCCTAATTCCTCACTGGCCCTGTTAGCTAGCTTTCTGTGACTCTGGAACAGGGGCAACTTCAGACAACAACCAATCTCTCAGTATTCCTTCTCCCAAAGGAGAGATGGCCCCACACTTCCCCACATTGTATCTTGCCCACTCTCCAATGCCTTTGAACCTTGCTTGTATTTTCCTGACAACAAACTCCTTCCCCTGGGATGGGTGTGAAGACTTCATCTGTTGAGGAACGAACTCTTGATTTCTCCTCTAATCCTCAAACCTCCAGTGGATCTCCACACTGGAAACGATCCAAGATCTTTGCCCTTCTCTCAATGCTCAAACTGTTCATACCGCCAATCACTGTGACACCTTCTCTCCTCTCTCAACAACACTAACAACGTTGCTGACATGAGCTGAGCACTGAGATGACGGAGCCCTCGATCTCAGCAATGTCATCATCCAAAGAGGCCAACCCCACCCCCCCAACACCCACCAACCTTTAGCAATCTCCCTGGCAGCCCTAACGATGGCCCAGAGGTTTTACTGAATAATCCTCCACTTTGCTGCAGAAGCAGCAAGAGAAACAAAGCAAACTGAGCAGTCTGAAGTTAGTGATGGTTCTTTATCATTCTTTGGATATTATTGCAGGTCCAATCGCTTCATGTAAACAACTTGGAGAGGGGAAGGGGGTTGTTGAGGGTGAGAGGGGGACAGGGGGAGAAGGGGGAAGGAGTGGGGAGGGGGGGGGGGGGAAGGGGGAGGAGGGGGGGGGGGGGGAGGGGGGGTGGGGGAGAGAAGGGAGAAGGATTCATGTTGATGGGGCTTGTCTCTCCCAGTATCAATGGTCCCCAGGCTGTCTCTGTCCTGCTCACTATATCCTTGGCTCCAGTGTCAGGGAACACGACAATGTTCCCAGCTGTGTGCAGACCCTGGGAAGGGGCTGGGACACACTGTCCGACAAACGGGCAGGCTGAAATGGAAACCAGAGACACGCACGCACACCCACACACGCACACCCACACCGGGATTCGGCACTGACTCCCCAGGGGGTCCCTCACATCTTCACTCACACTGGTTAGTCCACACTGCGGCTCCACCTAAGGGATCATCTTAGCCCCTGTCAGCGACATGTTCTTTATGTACTCCGCCATGTTTTCGTAATCCTCAGAGTCAGAGCCTGGCATCTCTTCGGAGTCCAGAGACGGGACCACCTCGTGTTGTCTCCTGGCGTTGCGGTCTTTCCTCCTGACGGCAAACTCTTTGGGAATGAAAGCTCCTCCTCCTCTGTGGCTCAGGATGTCACTCTTTGGCGGATTCTGGGCAGCTGGAACACACAGTCGCACATCTTACAGCAACAATAAACGCTTGCACAGCAATCTGTAACATACAGCGTCTTCTGTTTTTACTCCCTCGTGGGTCGTGGGCGTCACTGGCAGGCCAGCATTTACTGCCTCATCCCTTGCTGGACAGAGTGGCTCAGGACAAAACAATCCCTAGCTCCTCCAGCAGGAGTGTTACCTGAGAAACTGTGACCGCCCCGCCCCCGCCCCCGCCCCCACACCCCCAAGCCCCACCTCGAGACACACAGGACAATATCCCAGAGGCTTACAGCAGCAATTCTGCAGGAGCAGCTGTAGGTTTTAGCAAATGCAGTTATACAGTGTGGGACCATGGCTGCCACGGGGAAAGAATGGAAACTGGGCAAAGTACGAGGCCAGGAATTGGAGGGGAATAGGCATTTTATAGGCAGATTGTGACCCTCAAACTCAGCCCCCAAACACCCACCTCACCCTGAGCCTCTTAGTCTGACTCTGTCCCCCCTTCACCTAACCCTGCCCCCTCTCCCTGACCCTCTTACCCTGACCCTGCCCCTACACTCCAACGCCACCTCCTAACCCTGAACCCCCCCCCCCACTGTGATCCTGCCCCCTCACCCAGACCCTGTCCCCCTCACCCAGACCCTGTCCCCCTCACCCGGACCCTGTCCCCCTCACCGTGCCCCCACCCTCCCTCACCCTGTCCTGAACAGAATGGTGCTGGTGATGGAAACACAGAGTTATGAAGCTGGGTTTGTGGATGCCCTTGAGTCACTGAGCCGGGGCAAGGGCAGCATTTCGTAAACACTTGGTGAGTGGGCGAGAGCTGTCTGAGTCACTTTTACATGGAAATATCATCTCCAGAACCAACAACTCACAATGAGACAGCCTGGAGTGCAGACGGGCAAAGAGACTGAACATGGCTGTGCATGTTCAGCAATCACTAAAACCTGAAAAACGGTGCCAGGAATTTCCTGAGAAGTGCGAAAGGAATGTTGGCCTTTCTCCCAAGGAGTTTAGAAATGCATAGGGCTGGAAGGTATGTACAGTTATGTACGCGGGTCTATGTCCTTATCCTTTATCCAGAGTGAGGATACTGTGGCCTTGGGGAGAAAGAATACAAGTTTGCCTAAATTTTAGGGACATCTGAAGAAGGAGCGAGACTCCAAAAGCTTGTGTCTTCAAATAAACCTGTTGGACTGTCACCTGGTGTCATGTGTTTTTTGACCTTAGAGGTTTAAATAAGAGTAGGTTTACCTACTTCCCTCCACCACCGAGAAGGACAAGGGTAGCAGATACATGGGAATACCGCCCCCTGCAGGTTCCCCTCCAACCCACTCACCATCCTGACTTGGAAATATATCGCTGTTCCTTCACTATCGCTGGGTCAAAATCCTGGAATTCCCTCCCCAAGGGCTTGTGGGTCAACCAACAGCACATGGACTGCAGTGGTTCAAGAAAGCAGCTCCCCATCACCTTCTCAAGGGGCAAATAGGGAGGGGCAATAAATACCGACCCAGCCAGGGACGCCCACATCCCCACAAACAAACAAATTCCCACAAGACAGGCTGAGGGGTGATCTAACCAAAAGGATTTTAAAACACTAAGCAAACGAGGCAGGAGAATTTGGAGAAACAATTTTTAGAAAAGGGGACACATTACTAATGTTTCAGCTGTAACATTCAGGGTCACAATGTATTTTCACGCTGAGGGTCGTGATAACAATCATCTGCTGGACACGTTTTCTACAAAAGGCAGGAGATCCTAAGGGTTTATTGGAGCTCTTAGCACCTAGACTGATAGGGAAAGGTATGGATGGGAATGGATAAAGGTGATCGGAATGGGATGAAATGGAATTGAGGCACGGATAAGCTGACGGAATTAGTGGGACCAATGTAAAGGGGTAAGAGCCTACAACATTCCTGTCATCCCCAACTCCATTCTGTGGCTACCCCGGAAATCTCACAACCCCACTGCTGTTCCATCTACTGCTCTACAGTATCCCCTAAAACCAAGTCCGTACTCCACACCGATTCCAGAACTGGGGCCCTTACCCAGTACATCACGGTGCATTGTCTGCGTTGTGATGGTGCTGGTTCTCCAAATGAGCATTACATTTTTGTGCCATTCTCCCTGCAATCCAGCATGTTCTTCCTTTGCAGCGAACAGTCTAATTTCCTCTGTAGCGCTCTGACTGAAGTCTCTGAGGCAGTGTGTTCCAGAACTGAAACACTTGCTGCTGCAAAATATTTCTTTCCTCATATCTATGTTGATTTTTTTTTGCCAATTACTTGAAATCTGTGTCATCTTGTACTCCACGTTCTCACTACTAGGAAAGGTTTCTCCCTGTCTTTTCTGTCCAGACTCCTCTGATTTTGAAAACTTCCTTTCAATATTCACACCTCCAAGAAAAAAAAGCTCCTAAATTTTCCAATCTATCTCCACAATTCAAGTGTTTCATTCCTGAAACTAATCTCTTCTGCACCCCCTCCAACACCTTCATATCATTCGTAAAGCATGATGTCCATAACTGCACACTTACAAACCATGCAATGTGTAGGAGCAAAAGTAGGCCATTCATCCCATCCAATCTGTTCTGCCATTGAATAAGATTATGGCTAATCTGATAACCTTCAACTCCACTTCCTTGTCTTTTCACTCTAACCCTTGATTCCCTTCCCGAATAAAACTCCATTTCAGCCTTGAATGTATTTATCAACCAACCTCTACAGCCCTCTGCAGCAAAGAATTCTACAAATTCACTCCCCCATGAGAGAAGAAATTCTTCCTCATCCCTGTTTTAAATAGGTGACCCCTTATTCTGAGATTATCCCTTCTGGTCCTAGCCTCTCCCATGAGAGGAAACAACCTTTCCACATCTACCCAGTCAAGCCCTGGAAGAATCTTGTTTGTTACAGTAAGGTTACCTTTCATTTTTCTAAATCTCAATGAGTACAGGCCCAACCTACTCAATCTGTTGCCCTTTAGGTCCCTTTTAAATCTTTCCCCTCTCACCTTAAACCAAGCCCTCTAGTTTTGGACTCCCCTGCCTTGGGAAAAAGACCTTAGCTATTTATCCTATCTATGCCTCTCATGATTTTATAAACCTCTATAAGGTCACCCCTCACCCTCCGGTGCTCCAGAGAAAATAGCCCCAGTCTATTCAGCCTCTCCCTATAGCTCAAACCTTCCAAGCCTTGCAACATCCTTGTAAACCCTTTCAAGTTTCACAACATCCTTCCTATAGCAGGGAGACCAGAATTGAATCCAGTATTCCAAAAGCAGCCTAATCAATACCCTGTACAGATGCAACATGACCTCCCAGCTCCTATACTTAATGCACTGACCAACAAAGGCAAGTGTACCAAACACCTTCTTCATTACCCTGTCTACCTGCGTCTCCACCTTCAAGGAATTACGAACTTTATTCAATACCTCTGCCTTTTTTTGATTCCCCATTATTACTTCCCCAGCTCCATTTTCTAAGCTTTCCTTGCCTCTCTCTTCCTTTTAATACGTTTAAAAGAAGCTCTTGCAGTCCACCTTGATAGTACTTCAAGTTTACCCCCAAAATGTATTTTTTCCCCTCTTTCTTTTCTTCATCATCCTTTGTTGAACTTTTGTTTTATAGAAGTGATTACAAAAGTACTGGTATATTATACGTTTTGTTAAGCATAGTACTCAGTGCCAATCCTTGTACTGGGTGCATTCTATACCAGTTTCCCCAGGGAACAGCACAGGTCACACAAGCCCAGTGTGACTGCACAGTACCCTCAGCAGATGCCCCGGTTTTTCCCTTACCCCCAGGCACAATCGGCTGCATCAGTCGACTCAGCTGCACATTCCAGTGTTTCACATGCTGACTGGCTCTCCTCCTCTTTTGCTCTGCCACCTGTGAAGAAGGGAAAAGGGTAAATAATGACAGCTCACATTCAAGGTCACCCCATCAGCCAAGAAACTGAGCTGGAGCTGGCCACAGTCAGCAGCATCCCATCGCAGGAACAGGGCAGGCACGACCAGGGAGGAACCCAATGAGTGATAGGGAGCACACTCAGGAGTCAATCTGACATTTCTGGGGCCGGTTCTCTTGCTCATTCTGATTTTTGGCTGATTTTCCACTGGGAAGGGGAGGTCGGTGAGGGAGCCCCGAGGCTGATGTCCTATCCCGATCAGAGAGAGTTTGAGAGTTCAATAAGATCTGACCTTCCGAGGAAGTTCATCAAACTGTTGTTTGCATCTGTCTTTGGAGTGTTTCATTGGTACAGTTTGCTGGATAGCATGCAAAACAATACTTTCTACTGTATCTCAGTGACAATAATAAATCAAATCAAATAAGAGGTAACATTACTCTACACCCAACCCACAATCCTGCAATTCCCACAACACTTCCTTTCCCATTCAGTCCAATCCTACTTTCCTGCTTACTCTCTTGTTAATACCCCATCTGATTCAATGATACATTGACAGATGTGCCTGTTACTGGCAATGGCAGCAGTTATTACCATAACCTTAGTATTCATTGAGAAAAGGGTGGTGAGCCCATGTTCTGCAGGAAACATCTGCCGTGTGGCTGGGTGCGGAGTTTGAGAAATTCAACCCAGACGCAACAAAGGGACATATTTGCATGGCAGGGTGGTGTAGAGGTCATGGGTTTGGAAGGAGCCTTGGTGAATTTGTACAGAGCATCTTGTAGACGGTGCACACTGCTGCTCCTGAGTGTCGGTGGTGGAGGGAATGGATTTGGTGCCAATCAAAGCAGGAGCTGCTTTGTCCTGGATGGTGTCGAGTTTCTTGAGTACTGTTGGAGCCGCACTCATCCAGGCAACTGGGGAGTATTCCATCACAGTCCTGACTTGTGCCTTGTAGATAGCTTTGGGGAGTCAGGAAGTGAGTTACTTGCTGCAGTATTCCTAGCCTCTGACCTTCTCTTGTAGCTACTGTGTTTATATGGCAAGCCCAGTTGAGTTTCTGGTCAATGATGACTCTCTCTTTCCCCAGTACAATGGTGATGGGTGATTCAGTAATGGTACGGAATGAGCTGCCAGGGGAAGTGGTGGAGGCTGGTAAAATTACAACATTTAAAAGGCAACTGGATGGGTATATGAATAGGAAGGGTTTAGAGGGATATGGACCAAATGCTGGCAAATGGGACTAGATTAATTTAGGATATCTGGTCAGCGTGGACGAGTTGAACTGAAGAGTCTGTTTCCCTGCTGTACAGCTCTATGACTCTGTAAATCACCCGAATCTCTCAAATTCTTCCATTATTAATAAATGGTTAGACCTGGAAATTACAGCCCAGTCAATCTAACCTCAGTGCTGCGGGCATGATTATAGAGAATTATGAGGGACAGAATCTATCTGCACTTGGAGAGATACAGACAGGGACAGTCAGCATTTGTTCAGGGACAGTCATGTAGGCCAAATTTGATTGAACATTTTGAGAAGGTGACCAGTAGTGTTGGTGAGGTTAATGTATTTGATGTCATCTGTGTAGATATTAACTTTTGATAAGGTCCTGCAGGCAGACTGGTTAAACCCATTGGATCAAAGGCAAAGTGACATATTGAAACGAAAACTGGCGAAAGGTAGAAGCAGAGTGTGATGATAGGGGGTCTGTTCCCAGTAACTGGGCCTGTTCTTAACAACCGGGCCTGTTCCCAGTGACCGGCCTGTTTCCAGTGACCGGGCCAGTTCCCCATGACCAGGCCTGTTCCCGGTGGCCGTGCCTGCTCCCACGATGAGTCCTATTCCCAGTGATTAGCCTGTTCCCCATGACCAGGCCTATTCCCAGTGACCGGGCCTATTCCCCACAACTGGGCCTATTCCCAGCGACTGGGCCTGCTCCCCACAACTGGGCCTGTTCCCGGTAACCGGGCCTGTTCCCGGTGACCGGGCCTGTTCCCGGTGACCGGGCCTGTTCCCCGTGACCGGGCCTGTTCCCCGTGACCGGGCCTGTTCCCCGTGACCGGGCCTGTTCCCCGTGACCGGGCCTGTTCCCC